ACGGCATCGTGATGACTGAATGGGTTCCAGAGGGTCAAACTGTGAACCAACATTACTATTTGACAGTTTTGGCAACATTGCGCGAATGAGTTCGTAAGAAACGGTCGATAAAAACGGTTGTGGAAAAACAAGTCGTGGATCTCGCACCAGAATAAAGCATGAAGCGTTATTTGGCCGCTTAAGGCACTCCAGTACTCGAACACGCGTCTTACTCACCCGACTTGACACCCTGCGACTTTTACTTGTTTCCGAAGATAAAGTCTGCCTTAAAAGGCATCCGGTTTGAGTCGATGGAAGAGGTAAAACAAAAATCGGCGGAACCCCTGAATGGTCTTACGAAAACAGACTTCCAGCACTGCCTCGAGCAATGGAAGAAACGAATGAAACGGTGTGTGACGAGGGGAGGGAAGTATATTGAAGGGGAGCATTTAAATGTAGAATAACTTTTATAATAAAACACTTTTTCGTAACCAGTCTCGTTATTTAATAGCCACACCTCGTAAATGCTTAAAAATTGAAAAATTCTTAACAACTATAATAAAGAATGACAAATCAAAATTGCTGGTAGCAAGGTTGTGCCCAGGAAAAAAGAAATCGTAATATTTTATTAATATTTTTCGTACGTGTTCTTTTTTATTTTTTCGCATTTAATGCGATTTTTTTCAGAAAAGGTGCTACACTTAAAAATCTAAGCAGACTTCTTATAGTAAAGTTGTGTACAGATAAAAAAAATAAAAAATAAATATTTTTCTAAAACCATAAGGTTATTTGCTCCATTCAGAATCTGAAATTTAAACATTCCCCTTAAAAAATGTAATGAAATAGAATCTGCAGTTCATTAGTCACTTCAATCTAATCAGCTGTCACTCAAAATCTAATTCTTAAATTTATAAAATGGCACGCCGTTAAAACGATCAATATTTATAATAATAGTATTTAATCGGTTGTTACAGTTCCCTAACACGAAAATTCGTTTACATAGACTTGACCATTGCAGATATTTTTCAATGTGAAAACTCCGAATCTTATATGAACGTCTTATAGACGTTACAGTTATAGTCTTACAGACTTTTTCAATAATTTTGTATAACTAAATACATTATTTTTTTCAAAACAGTTATCTCAATTTATGTACGTTTTACATATTATTTATAATTTTTGACCACTTTCTCATCGTCAAATACACCATTTTTTTTTCACGTAAGTCATTATTTAATTTTCATATGATTTATCGTTATAATAATATACATTTTTCGTTTTCAGTTTATATACTTAATTTTGAGATGAAACACCGGCGTAAGTAATTTTTTTTATTTTTAAACTCTTAAGAGAACGTGATATTATGTGCATATTGTAGTGGTGTTTTGCATCACCTAATTAAAACGTACAACATACACTTTTTGCGTTCATAGGGGACGATTTTACACTGTTGGTTTTAATAAAGTAAATTGAATTGACGACTTCAATATCAACGATATTGATATCGTAGCGGTATGAACACTATCCTTGTGTTTACACACAGGTTTTTTTTATTTTCTAGATATTTTAATTCCAAAATGAATAAATATCATAAGTAGTAGACGTATAAAATATAACTTATATGATTATCGAAATTGCAAAATTTAAAAACGTACTTATAAATCGCTGAGAATAATTAAAATATCGAGAAAAAATCAATACATACAAAGACAAACATTACTGCGTTCTGATTGTGTTTTTACTTTTCAGTTTGATAACAATAGTGACAGTTTACTATACCATTAGGTAAGACTATGTGCGCAGAATTGTCCCTGCTAAGTCTGCTATATTGTACGTTTGTATGAGACAGGAACGACGCATGCGGGTGTCAAGTTTATTCTTTTACCTTTTTTAGTTTCATAGAAAGTAATTAAGCTATGATTATATCACAGTTGTATTCTATATACGTATTATTATGTTTGTGCGGATTCTATTCCGGTTGGTATTCGATATATAAGACGGGTTATACGTGAACAAGATTAGGCTACTTTGTATCCGGAATTTTACTCTCAAAGAAAGGCACACAAATGATTTTAGGGAATCTGAGCGAATCGAAGAAAGTAGTAGGGAGCTGTTTTTTTTTTTTAAAAAATCGACTAATAATAATATGCTCAGAATAATTTTACGTTAGCAATGGTTTACTATTGCATACAGATATAAATTAAATTACTCTATATTATAGTCACCTTCCTCATTTCCCTTCTAAAATAGTGGTTATTAGCATAGGCCATATATTTCATTTAACATTATAATCAGAAAAAATCGCACCTATACACAATATAAATATAGTTCGCGGCATTTAGAATAATTAACAATTTCGTTTTTTTACTGTTCGGTTTCCGTGCCCATTCGGATGTAAACGTAACAATGATTTAAAAACAGAAAAAAGAAAATTATCGACAACGTCATCAGGTTCTACAAATTGGTACGGAAATACGCCGTTTGGTGGCTTAACGTGTCCACGTAAGTTTTAAAAAGTATTATTATTATTATTATTTGAGGTTTTGGATAAATTACTCATTTCTTTTTAATTCTCATCGCTTACGTCCATTTGATTGTTCAATTTGGTGCGCATTTGGATGTGAACATAACGAATGATTTGAAAACAGAAAACAAAAGATTATCACCGACGACATCGGGTCCCATTATTTGGCATAGAAGTTCGTCATCTGGTGGAAAAACGTGTCCACGTAAGTTTTAAACGATATTAATATAGTTTTAAAACGTTTAAACAAATTACGCATTTCGTTTTTATCCTTATCGTTTCCATCCGTTTGATTGTTTATTTTGGTGCGCATTGGGATGTGAACATAACGAATGATTTAAAAACAGAAAAAAGAAGATTACTGTCGACGCCATCGGCTTCCATTAAAAGATTGAAACTTTCGTCCGAACAAAGGTCCGGCGCCAAATTTCTACGTTGTAAGTTTTAAATGTATTTATTTTTACTATCGTAAAAAGGTTTTCTTCAAATTTTCAGATATTTAATGTTATATGTATAGGTCGCGACTTCAAATTTATTAAAAATTGCTACCTATTTATTAGTTTTATTTTTTGTACAGTCTAAATACCATTTTTCCAATAAAAAAAAAAACAAAAACAAAATAACACAGAAAATGGACACTTATCGGATTCGTAGACATTTAAATAATTCAAATCATTGGGTAATTTAAAAAGGCGGTTAATTAAAAATGTCAATTAAATTTTTTATGAATTAAATAAGCGTAAATAACCTCTCCTTATCAATATTTGTCCCGGTATGTCACTTCCGTATAACATATTTAGACATAAAAGAAGGAAGATCAGGTATTAAAAAGGAGTAGAATGATTAAAGTTAATAATTCTAGAAGGGATTATCAAGACATAATAATATGTACTGAAGAAAACATTTAATACAATTGAAAAATGTTTAAAATTATATTTACGGTGCTATTGTTTGTTAACAATACAATATATCAGTTCCTAGTACTTCGGAGCAATCGACATCCAGCTCGGATGAACCGGCTTCCGATTCGGACGAGTCGACCTCCGATACGGATGAGTCTGAAGAGTCAATTTTCAGCTCTGAGGGTTTGACCTGCAGATCAGAATCATCAGACTTTGAAATAGAAGTTGAAACAATCGATAGACAAATATTAGAGTTTCAAGAGAATACACCCTTCCTTGAAAATTATCACTATCAAGTTTTTCAAGATGATTATCCTGAAATATGTTATATGGACGAACCTATTTATAATAATGAAAATGCAAATTAATTAATTAAATTTTTCTTTGTATAGTATATCACTTCCCTAAATTTTCATTTTTGTAATTATAAATATTTCGTTTCAAAAATTGTTAATAATTTTCATATCATATGTAAAAGAAAATTGATTTTATTCAATAGATATAATGTTGATAACATTTTTTTAAAACAAGTACCTACCTACCTAAGTACCTGCTATTTATGAACAATTTCTGTAAACATTTGTAAGTTCGTAATCGATCTAAGACAAGCAGACGTGACCTTTTGGACAGTTGGATGTCAACAAATAAAAATAAATATCTACAGCACAAAATATAAACTTGTCAAAAAAAAATGTTTTTTTTTTTTTTTAAATTAGGTATACAGTGTCCCATAAAGCCATTGCAATATCTGAGATAATAGAGATACGTAATCAAATACTGTTTTTTGTATTACCTAGGTACTCGCGAGGACACATATTACAAATAGTTCTTCTATTTGAATTAAATTTTCATATTTTAGTTAAATAATTAAAAATAACTTTTTGTTTTAAAAAGTCAGTTTAGTCAGAGTGAATTCTCCTGAATTTTAACGTTTCAATTTTCATTTTCATTAAATTCGTGATTTTTAAAGTTCAGAGAAAAGTACCTACCTATAATTATGTAGCAGGTTGTAATTCCTAACTGATAATTATTGTTATGGCTAATTGACTACACTTATTTTCTCAGACTTTAAACAATTATTAAAAATCACGAATTAAATGAAAATAAAAAGTTGATACGTCAACATTTTCAGATGAATAATCTCTATAAAATGTATTTATTTAAACTTTTCAAAAATAGCAAAATTGCTGGTAGAAAAATCGTCCACAGGAAAAAAAATCAGAATATAATACAAATATATTTCGTACATTTTCCCGTTTTTCTTTTCTTCGATTTTTCGCATTTGATGAGAAAATCGAAAAATTACCTCTTTAAAGTAATTTCCCACACTGATTTTCTTTTAAAAAAAGTTTGAGACGTGCTGGTTCGGTCGGCCTCGTTTAGAACCGACCCGAGCGCCCAGCTGACTACCCGCCTAGTGGGAAGGTCGCCAACCCGAAAACTGGAGTCCTAGGATTTTTGTTTAGGAGGGAAGGAAAAAAAAAGAGAATTTAAATAACTAAACACGTGGTTTTCTGGGGGGAAAGTATATAATTATTAATTTAATTTATCAATCAAAAGTAAAATTTAAGTTAATATAACAGAATAGCCCGGGGCATAAAAACTGTTCATTAAGAAAGAATGGATAATAGGTACGATTTATAACATTGATATATAGGCTTATAAACAAATATTTACGGACAATTTATATTTTAAATATATGTACATTGTTGACTGGGGCGTCAACCAGTCGTAAGTGTTGTCCGGTCACATATAGCGACATCACGGTGAACGTGCAGGTCTGGACTGATTAATAGTTTTGGGTAAGGATGAACTCACATCCACGTGTGTGTTGACCGATACGGGTATTGACAGAGACGGACTCCCACGTGGAACTTTCGTGGACACCTTAGGTATTGAGGAGATCCCGGCAGGAAAGTGCGGTTGCCAGGTCACACGGATTACCACCGGGAATGGTGGCGGAAACGCTCTTTTGTTCCATATTGACTGGTCCGTAGTTTCGGTGGCCCTACGGGTGAGAACCCGCGGGGTGCGTCCGAATATTGATCGCGAAACGGTGAAAATCGATTTATATATTCCTCTTTTAGATGCACACACACGTGGTTGCGAAACTTAGCACTTAAAGGGAAGAGAAAAAATAGCAAAAAAAAAAACAAAATACGGGGGGGGGTTGGCCTATCGCACAATATATCGTACAATATCGCAATATATATAAAATATATTCATACGGAGAAATCTTAATTAAATTACCTTAAAAACTAATTAACTAACTAACGGGGTATCGGCCAATTATTAAATCACAAACATATTACCATCGTTCCACCGAAGATGTCCGCCCACCAGACCAGATCGGGATTCACTTCCATTGATTCGTTCGCGGCACCATCATGAATCGTGCCAAGGTACACGACCTTTTCTTGGCGGCAAAAATAGGCGAAGAAAAATACACGGGAGGATTTTATTAAGAGAACTGTATCTAAAGACCGTCTGGTGACAATAATCTCGAGACGATGTCTAAACACGAAGAAGAAACAGAACGAACAAAAAGAATAAAACTGGGTAGCGGAGCGCGGAGACGTTCGTGGCACGTCGCCGCGGGCCGACGTTTTTGGCGACAAGGGGAAACGTGATATGATTGGACGTTAACCCGTAGTCAGAAATATAATATTATTGCGAATTGCAACGGATTGCGATCGCATAAACCTTTGCGCGGGGGGGAGGGGAATTATTGTTTATGACGACATAACATATCCGTCGACGTGGGCGAAATCTATTAACCGGTCGACCATATCGATGGTGGGTATGCTTGTCCTTTGATAACGGGAAATGGTCGTTTTTGGACGTTACAAATTGCTACAAGTAAAAATCGGAGCGACTCCTCTGGTAGAAAACTTGTCCACATAAAAAATAAAAAATAAAAACATCTTTGCAAAACTATAAGCTTTTTCGTTCCACTCAGAATCTAAAACTAAAACAGTATTTGATTATCTTTATTCTTCAGACATATTCAAAATTACAATGGATATTTCCTCGTGGAACACTCAGTAAATAGCTGTTCATAATACTATTGAAGTAAAGTACCTATTTTGGGCAATTTTAGTTCTATTTTCATAACTTTGAACAATTTTTAAAATTTGTTAATATAGATCAATAAATGTCTTTAATGTTAAAAGGGGATTGTTACCTGCTTTATGTTAGATTCAAATCATCAGTATTTATATCATTATAATATAGATATCTGTGATGTAAATACATATTGTGCAGATTGTACTTTTCGTAAGCAGTTGATAACAGATCACAAACTTGGGTGCTGAATTCACATTGTATAATGTAGGTACGTATAATTGGTTTTAAAATTTATTTAAATAAACTATAACTGAAAAGTAATTTTTACTAACTACCTATTAACAAAAATATCATGTTATAACAATATAATTATAATAAATGTATACATAGAGTATTACATTATGAGTGTATAACACTTTATAGCAGGGAAGTTATCAAATTATCATTTAAAAATAGATAATATGCAGTTTATTACCCTATTTAAAAAGAAAATATATTATAATGCTAATGGGTGTCCTACTGTTGTAGGTTAAAAGTTGGGAAGGTAGGATACGTAATTATGTTATTTAATTTATATCTATATGCAAGTATGCAACGATAAACCATTGCTAACAAAGTATGAACATGAGCATAGTTCAGTTATAAAAGTTTTTAAATGGCTTAATAATTATTAATAATTTTCATTAAAATGTAGTATTAAAATGATTATAACAAAGAAAAAAAAAATCTAGGTACCTATTACATCACATTCAACTTTTTTTTTAACAATAAGTACAACTGTCAACATACAATGAACTTCATGTTAAATTTTCAACTTCTTTTGTTTTTAAAATAATTGTATTCACATACGATAAGCACCTATCAAAGAAAAATTACGTACAAAAACTAGTAAATGTAAAATACCTATTAGTTTAAAATTTTCGTGAAAATTTTACCATGTCTAAAAAAGGCCAATATAAATTTTCTGTCATAATTTCAAGTCTCTACAAATATTTTTAACTGAATTACAACAAATCAATAAAATTAAAAACGATGTCCTCACTAACCACCTAGTTACAAAGTGCATCAAAAAAAGGCTCTTGCCATTTTTTGATTAAATTAATATTTCTAGTAGATAACATAATGCGTATCTAAAAATTAAAAACAATGAAATCGGTTATGGCACAGCATGCCCAAAATTCTTGCCTGTTTTTCTTAATTTTTTGGGTGGTTTTTCTCAATTATTTTGAAATTCCCTTAGAAAATTAAAAAATAACTTTTCCGATGTATCAACTAGATCCAAAATGCAATGTTTCTTGTCATTTTTCTATTTAAGCAAGATTTTTGGTAGAAAAGCTGACTATATTCAGAAAAAATAAAAACATACATCATGGTAACCAATAGATCTCTTGCTACACTTCCAAGTCTAAAAATGAAATAAGCGCACACAGTGAAACTACAATATTCTTAGCTTGATTAGGATCTAAAATTCACATAAATCACTACAAACACCAATGAAAAATTTTTTCTTTTCTCTCAGAATTTAATAATAATTACTATAATTGTTTATTTTACAATATAACAAATAACTAAAATTTATTTTTTCTACAATTATATTAAACACTTTGTTTAGTTTTAGTTTCATTCTCATCATCCTCATCATCTGAATCTGTTTCATCTTCTTCTTCTTGTGTAACAAACTGAGATAAGTTGATACTAAATTTCTCCCTGGAAGCTGGGGTTTGAATGAAGCATCTGAAATAAATTGAATAAATAATTTTCTAAATTTACGTTTTTTTTAATGATTTTATTAAAATAATAATTATGAAAATCAGTTTTTTACTAAACATATTTAATAATTTTTTAAACAATTTTGATGATAAATAGTTTGTCTCAAGCCATTGGACAATAATATACAAATTGATTTTTCTTTTTAATGCAAAGAATATAGAAATTATATTACAGTATATAGACTATAATAAATAAATAATATAATATAGAATTAGTAATATTTGCAACCTTTGGGTAAACCAAAAGCTTGTGATGGAGAGTTATTATAAGAGTTCATAAAATACTAAATATACCAATAATGATAAGTTTATACAATTTCAATTTCATTTAAGTTTACAAGTTTTAAATACTGCTTAAAAAGTTTTAAATTATGAAAGTCAAAATTATTAATGGCAACACGAATATAATTTTTCGCACCAAAATGTTTGTAAAATTTAAGGATTTTTATATTGATACTTTTTTTATATCTTGTACAATATTCATGGTAGACAGATGTTATAGTATCATGTCTGTATTTACATAAAGCTTTGATATTAGCTCATGGTACACATACTCATTATTGATATATTTAGGTTTATTTAATAAAAATTTACTAAATTTAAGTTGTTTTTGAAGAATTGGTATATGCAATTATATTTTAAACATCATTAAAGATATTATTAAAGAATATACGTGATATATTGGTTAGAGCATTTATATGATGATCCCATTTAAATTTATTAACAGATTGCAAGGCAATAAAAATTTTATTAGATGTAAATAATAAGTACTATATACATTGGACCAATTATTTCAAGATTTATGTTAAAGTAAATATATTTTGATTTGTCTAGATTTATTTCGAATAGATAATTATCAAACCAAATCTTAACTTTATAATGATGTTTGAACTAAAAAAAAGTGAATCTATTGATTTGTCATCAGCATAGTAAATAGTATTCATATTTATGTCCAGATTCAACAGACCATTTATCATATATATATATAAATGATAAAAATAATTGGTCCTATTCGCTCAGTTGTCAAACGAACCCCAACATAAAAATAAAATCAGGTATCTTGGTTTTTTTTAAAAAATGGCCATAGTATGGAAAATCTTGAATACAATTTTTTTTTGATTCATTTAAATTTTAAAATTCTCAAAGGCTATCATTCATAAAATAGCTTTTTTACAAATTAAAAAAACAAAAATTATATTTTTAAACAACAAGTACCCACTTGAATAAGAACTAATACATTTTGTTATTTAATGAAATTAATAACTCAAAGTTAAAATAGTTTGGTGACCATAAGAATATTAAAAAATATTATTATTTTGTTCATTAGTCATGAATGATTGCCAAATTATAAAAAACATATTTGGAGCTTTATATCAAATTTTCTTTTAAAATTTAAATTTTAAAAACAAAAGTAAACAGTATCATTGCCAAAGATATTTCAATGTATTTTTAAGTTAATTTTAACAGTATTAAAAAAAAAAAACAAACAAAAACTCATTTCAATTTTAAATAACAGTTAAATAAAACATTTAAATTTAAAATATTTTTTTAGAAAACAAGATTTTATTTAATGTCTTGATAATAGTTACCGTGTAATGAATGGAGATGGATTGGCTCTTTTTGGAGCTTTGGTCATAATATCTTTGAAGAGGGTGTCAAAATTTTCAACTAATTGATTTGGTTCATCGGTCAGCTAATATAAAATATACCAAGATAAAATTAATATAATTTTTTCAAATACATAAAATAATGTTTAAAAAAAAAATTACATCTCACCTGACCAATTTTCATCCCAACTAATCCTAAAGATTCATCATACGGGTCTACTTGCATATTATATCTAATACCTTTGATGTAATGTTTTATCGTAGCCACTAAATCTAACGTCAATGAACCTACAAATACATTATTTAAATTAAATTTTATTAAATATTTCTAAATTACAATTTATTATCACACCATTTTGAAGAGTTGGATAACGTCTTCTTAATAGTCCTCGAATAGCAGGTAATTCTGTTAAAATATCAGGATGGGCAAGTACATATTGAAAATCAGGCAACATTATAAGACCTCTCTGAAAAATTAAAAAATTATATTTTAAAAATAAGAATGTAGTGAAAAAAAATTATTAGTAATTGCTATTAACAAAATTATTTAGTATCGTCCATGGTTATCTACTTAGGTTGAAGCACAAGGCCTCATCACATAATATTAATGATGTATGAGAATGTGATCTAATAATATTAGTTAGTCCAATTTCAAACTAGAAAATACATTTTTCATAAAATGAAATTTTAAGTTTATTGTGAATAAATAAATAAATATAAAATAACATGTCATTTAAGTATAACTATAAACAAAATAATACACTTATTTTTATATATTCACAAACATTTTGTGCAATTAAACATTCTTAAATAAATATAAGTTAAAATATATAAACGGAAATTAGTGAATTGTTTAATTAATAATTATAGATAAATAAAATAGTCTCATATATCTAGTCTTTTATTCATAATTTTAGATTAAATACATTTTTGAGCGCTTTTAATTCACAATATCTTAGTTCACCATTTCAACATTATCAATATATTGAGATCATAATATTGAGTTCCAACCTGAGTAGATAACCATAATAAGAACCAAACAAAAATATTTGTATACACTATAACAGCGGTTCTTAAACTTTTTATTACGCGGACCCCTGATGAAGGACATTTTTAAATCGCGGACCACCTTATTAATTTTGTTAGGAATTACCATTTTTTTTATTAAAAAATATTTCATGTTACAATTACCAATATATTTAAAAGAAAGGTAAATAAAAATATNACGAAATTTTGTTAATTTAATTTTTTTCGTACATGGTGTCTTCTTATTATCAACCGTAGAATTATTCCTCTTTACATTTAACCAGCTATCCATTTTTTCTTAAAAAAATTTGAATTTTAAAAATATATCACGTAAAATTCGTAAAATACGTAGGTATACAACTAATTAAATACAATCGATAAGTATACGGCGATGGCGAGTAAACGACTGGACGTTTGAGTGCTTTAAATTTCGTTCTTAATATAAACTAATAGATAAATGGTAATTCTAAATATAATTTAAAATTCCATGTTACGCCGATATGGGTAATTAAGATTAGAATACTCGAGGATTAACTTTTTTAAAGTTGCGATAAGACGCGTTCAATACTTGTATAATAATATAAAATATAAAATATAAAATTTTACATTTCTAACAATATCATTATTACACACACATGCTGTCCACAGCTAAAATCATTTATAGTGTCGCGGACCACAGTTTAAGAATCGCTGCACTATAATATTTAATTTTAAAAAAGTATTATATATAATAGAGTAATTGAAGACCTCAGAATAATAACAGGATATCTCTAATCTATAAAATTGTTCAGACTTCACTTTAGAAAAATCAAAAATATATCTTTAACATTTATAAAAATATATATTCTTATAGAAATAATTTGATATAATTATTCCCCTAGTGATCTATGTTAAAATATAATTTTTGAACTTTTAAAGTCAAAATATAAAACTTGAAGTTATTTTGTTGTTGTGTTTTGAAATAATATACTCTGACTCACTTAAAATGTATAAAAATAATATAATATTTGATAAGGGTACCTATTTTTTTTTCTTCTTCACTTATATTATGCAATTTAAATGAGATAATTTGTTTATATTTATATTTTATTTTGCTTCTTTTTAAATATCTGTAAGTAAATTATTCCTCAATGTTTTATGAGAAATCTGATGATGTGCAAAGCCGAAATTAAGTAGTTACGTTTTACATACACTTTTAAGTTTTGGTTTAAATTTTTTAAACAATCCATTTCCCTATTATATACAAGAAGTGATACATAATCTCAAATTTTCAATAAAAATATTTGCTTAAAAACTTAAGATTTTTAAAAGTAAATTTTTTAAAAATATGTTATCATTATTTGGTACAATAAGACTTACCCGGGAATATATTGCCATTAATTAGGAGCAACAATCAAACATATTAGTTTGAATAATATCTTTAAATTTAACGTATGAATTTGTCTGATTGCTGTACTAATTGATGCATAGTATTTTTCATTGCCTCTGCGGGTGGGGGCCAAAATATGGGAGTCCATGTTTGTCATAAGAGGCGACAAAAAATGGACCTGAATGTGGGAACCAGCGCCTTCAATACTGGCTGTAGGTGAATGCTTCATAAGCAAGTACAGCTATAGCCAGGTACTAGAAGTAGGTGTGCATGGAAACCGTGAACACGGCTACTGAACTGCGATGTGGAAGGCAAGAGAAAACCACAACATTAATTTCCTTTGTCAATTAATAAATGACCAGCACAATAAATAATATAATGTATGGAAACAACCTTATCCGAACAGTTATTTCTGACAGGAGGCCAAACAAGGTAACTCAGATCATCATCAGGCGAAATCCTTGTAGTATGATAGAACCATGGAATGTTAGAACTCTGTTATAAATAAGGAAACTAGATAATCCTAAGATTGAGATGAAACGTCTCCAAGTAGATATTTTGGAGACAAGTGAAATGAAATAGAATGGTCAAAATGACTTTACCGGGAAACAAAAGAGACAGGTATAACACAAGTGAACAATGAGGAAATAGAAGAGATCCACGAAAAGATAAAAGAACTTATTAACCTCACAAATGGTAAGGAAAATCGAATTATCATGGGGGACTGGAATGCGATTGAGGGGTAAGATCCAGATGGCAGAGAAATTGGTGAATATGGACTTGAGACAAGGAATGAAAGATGAGATCGTTTTGTTGAGTTCTGCAGACACCATGATAGTCATTTAGTCATAAGCAATACTTTATTCGTGAATAATAAAAGAAGACGTTTTACGTATAAAATGCCAGGTGATATTAACAGATACCAATTAAGACTATATTCTGGTAAAGAATAGGTATAAAAATTAGATTAAATTGAGTACTTCTTATCCGGGAGCTGATATTCATAGTGACCACAATCTGATGATGATTAAATCTGTGTTGAAATTCAAGAAGTTAGAAAAACCAAAAAATAAAGGGTATAAGTGGAATATGTGTCAACTAAAACAAGCAAAAACAAGAAAGTTGTTTGAAAAGAAATGCAAAGAAAAACTTGAAATCAAAAGTAAACCGAGGATAGAAGACTGCAATAATATAGAACACGGAAGGCATTGCGTAAAAGAATCTATTGTCCTGTGTGCAGAGGAAATATTAACTAGAAGAAACCAACACCAAAATGTGAATGGATAATAATAGAATTAGTTCAAGATTTAGAGAAAAGAAGATTGCTTAAAAACAAAGCAGATGAAGAGAGTGAAAAACAATATAAGATGTTAAGAAATAAAAATAAACTGTGAAACAAAAAAAGCCAGATGTGGATTGAAAAAATTGAGCAGAAATAAACAAAATGTTGAAATACAATCAATAGAATAGGGCATACAAACTCATCAAATGATATTTCAATGAAAGAAAGTCACGATGCACACACGCAAAGGATGAAGAGGGGAATTTATTTATAGATAAGATAGCAATAACGAATAGATAGAAAGAATATGTAGAACTATATGGAGAAGAAAACATCGAGTTACTTGTTGAAAACTTAACTGACAGTGCCTTTGATACAAATACAGATATAGGAATTATAAAATTAGAATTTGAAGTACTTTAAACAATAAAGAAAAACAAAGTACCAAGCGACGACGAATTTAATACGGAACTTCTACAACAATCAGGAGAGAAAATAAAGAACACTCTAAATCAGTGGTCTTCAACCGGTAGTTCGCGAACTAATTTTTGGGTCGCGTAAACTTAAAAATTGGGTTGCAATAAGTTTTCTTTTTAGATTAAAAATTAAGTTTATACAATTATATAGGGTATACAAATAATGGTTTAATTATTAAACTTAGAAAATTAATAAATGAAAATACAGTTTGAAAATTATTGTAATATATTATATAATTTATGTTCAAAAATATAATAATATAATGGATTTCAAATCACAGCATATGTTTCATATACTGGTATGATTTTACGTAGTATGACATTAAATATAATAATTTACGAGTAAACCGGGCTGGTAATAAAATAAATATATTATATAATCATTGTTAAAGAGTCCCATAATCTACGAACATCATCAATGCTGTCGCTGTGTTTAAAGACGGATAAGTGTTAGTCGCGTTATTATTCTAATCAAATTTACATATCCGTTAAAAAGTTTTTTTTTATTTTTATTTATTCAGTTATAACTGTACTACTACAAAGTATTAAGTAATTTAAAATTTTTTTTTTTGTTTTTCTACAAACATTTCTTTTTATGTATGCCTTATGTGAGTCGTGAATAATGGACGCCAAAAAAAAGTGGATCGTGAGTCCAAAAAAGTTGAAGACCACTGCTCTAAATAAATTGTTATGTCAAATAAACGAGACTGGGAAAATTCTGAGAGATTTTGGATTTAGTAGACTAGTTATCCTACCAAAAAAATCTAGAGCCAACTAATGCGAACATTTTAGGACCTTAACCTTGATATCACATACAGCTAAATTACTAACAATAATTAAAAGCAAAAGGATAAGTAAGAGTAAGGTTAGCGATTGATTAATATAGTTTCTAGAAAAACAAAGGAACCAGAGAGGCTATTTTAAGTCTGAGAATAATAATAATAATAATAATACTTGAAAAGCAAATTGAGAGACAAAAAATTACTTATATGGCCTTTATGGACCTAGAAAAAGCGTTTGATACTATAAAATGGACAAGTCTCTTTAAAATTTTAGAAGAAACAGAGATAGATTTTAAAGACAGACCTATTCTCTATAAGATTTATGAAGATCAAGAAACCATTATTAATATTAATTCAACAACAACTGCCAGAATTCAAAAAGATGTAAGACAAGGGTACCCACTTTTACCTGCATTCTTCAATTTATTTATGGAAGACCAATAAACGTCATAAAGCTTTGATTAGATTAAAAAGGAATTGGAGTGAAAATGGGAGGGATACTAATACTTCGCTTTGGTGATGATATAGTTCTTCATGCAACATCTGAGAAAGACTTGCAAGCAGCGTTAAATGTAATGAATACCACATTCCAAGAGTATAATATGAAAATGAATGCAGTCTAGATTAAAACTCAAACGAAAAATGCATTCCTTAAACAAAAAAAAATTATTAACATAGAAACGAAGAAAAGGCGCATAAGAACATATGTCTGAAGTGTGGCATTATATAGAAGCAAGACATAGACAATTAATACAAATGAGAAAGATATGTCGGAAGCTCTGGAGATGTGGTATTAGAGAAAAATGCAAAGAACAAGCTAGATTGAGAGATCGAATGAAGACATCTTGAGGACAATAGATGAAAAACAAACATTAATAGACACTATAAGGAGAAGGGGATGGCAGTTGATAGGACACACGTTGAGGCATGGGGATGAACTACATAGTTTAATAATTGAAGGAATGATAGAAAGAATAAGATCAAGAGGAAGACCCAGGACACAATACATTAGCCAAGTAATAAAGGATGTAGGAGTCACTTCCTACAGGGATTTTAAGAATATGGCGCTTGACAGAGAAAAATGAAGAAGTTTATAGTAAAAATTTGTTAAAAATTAATTTTCGGATTGATAAAAAAAAAAATTTTCATAACTCGTGTTCAAAAAGTGATTAGATCATTGTGACGTGTAGATATCCAATTGTTCAGAGGTCTCCAATTTATATTAAAAACACCTACCTCAATATTTTTAATAATATCTCTACCACCGACTAACATAGCACCTGCATTTCTAGCTTCTTCCATCATTTCAGTAGTTTGACAAAAAGCCAATATGGTTCTATCTTCACCGTGGTCATACGGATAAGGAAATTCAATTATTTTTTGGTATTTATCTACAAATTTATTTTTTTTATCTGTAGTTAAATCTATTTCTAGATGAACATTCAAAGGTGCATCTGGTATATTCATCATTGTCGGATGGTGTAGTTCACGATGAGCCAATATAGCGTCCAACAATTTATAGCTATACAATTTAAAAAATTAGAAATTGTTTAATATAAATTATTCTTTTTTAATTTAGATAAATAAAAATTATACAATATTAAAAATTAAGTAAACATTATACATATTAGATAAAAATCTTTAGTTCATCTTAGGTAATTTATATAAAAACTAACCTGCGTATTTGGTTAAATTTTCCCACATATACATCATCTTTAGGAACGCGCCAGAAAAATGTATCAATTGTACGACTTGACTTATCCAATTGCCTATAAAAATTAATTATTAATAACTAATATACTAATGATTTAAAAATGATTATACATGCTTTTAAAAATATGTTATAATTTTAAGAAACTTTGCAACAGTATTAATATGAATAACATTATTTCTTGGTAGGAATATTTCACAGAGTAAGCTTAAATAGAACTACATTCAGTTTACTAGTTATTTGCAATTTAGTTCTAATCTTTGACAAATTTTTACAAACATAATTTTATAAATTTCATAAAAAATAAGGTAGAGATATAAAGCAAATTTACATTATTTTAAATTAAGATTCCAATTTATGCTGCCGATCAACCTTCTACACAAAATACTATTGTTGCCGATTATGCTGACGATAAAGTCATACTATCAGTACATAATGACCCACTAATTGCTTCAAGAAATTTACAATCCCACTTAAATCTACTCTCAGAATGGTATGCCAAATGGAAAATCAAATTATACAACAACAAATCCATTCACACAACTTTTACCCTAAGATTCGGACTTTGCCCTAACGTAACTGTGAATAATTTACCTATCCCTGCTCTTGTCACTGTTAAATACTTAGGATTAATCCTTGATAAAAGACTAACTTGGTAAAATCATATANCACAACTTTTACCCTAAGACACGGACTTTGCCCTAACGTAACTGTGAATAATTTACCTATCCCTGCTCTTGTCACTGTTAAATACTTAGGATTAATCCTCGATAAAAGACTAACTTGGTAAAATCATATAAGAAAAAAAAGATTAATACTTAATGCTCGCTCCCGCTCTCTAAAAGTATTACTTTCAAAAAATAAATTCTCATCTTTAAAAACAAAACTTCAAATGTAAAAGTCTCTTCTGAAACCCATATGGACGTACGGGATCCAACTATGGGGATCGGCAAAAAAATCTAATTTAAATAAAATTCAGGCCTTCCAGAATATTACTCTTCGTAAAATCACAAATGCCCCACCCTTCGTCTCTAATATGACCCTCCACAAAGACCTAGGTCTAAAAACAGTGGAAGAAGAAGCTGCTATTTTCTATAAGTGATTTTATAATAAATTAGAAAACCATGAAAATCCTCTAATAAAAGATCTACATATCCCGTCACTTCCTGGAAATCCCCGTCGCAGGCTGAAAAGGAAATGGTGTAGGGATCACCTAACTTAATCCTAACAAGCTATAATTAATCACATAATAAACAAGCAAGGGCTACTAATGGGTGGCTTCTTATTCACGTAACCCCATAATGTTTTTGTTCCCTAATCTCACATATACTTATTGTGCTTAATTGTATAGATCGTATATTTCTTGTAAAAATAAAAAAAAAAAAGATTCCAATTTGAAATTACCAAGTTATCTAACCTTAGAATTTTATTAGATTATAGTTTCAATCAAATATAAATGGTAGTAATTTATAAAGATGTTTGAAAATTAAGATTAATAGCTTGTAAAATATAAGTAAATAGTCAACAATATACTTTTTTTTCAATATAGGTATATATTTTCTTGCTTTGGCCAAGTTAGCGGCCCTATTTTTCTTATGGATTTTGGCCTTTTTCTCTCTAGTACTTTTACGAGCCCGATATCGGACAGGCATTATAGAAGAAACAGCCGGCAGTGAACGGAATAGGCTACTAAAATCTAAAAACAAAATATGTTATACATTAAAATAAAAAATTCAAGATTTTTCCTTTTGTTACTTACTAAACATTTTTATTATTTAATTTGAAAAAGAAAAATGTTGTCAACTAAGTTAATGAAGAAAAGTGAAAATGGTTTAGTTTTGAATGTACATATGCAAATATTAATATAGTTAATATTATTATACTTAAATAATAAATCATAAAAATTGGACAACATTAAATTTCGTTTTATAAATTTTGGTATGGTTATAATAGTAGTAGATACTATAGTGGTAATCTAGAAGGCCGGAGATAAGATATAATCATAAAATATTGTAATAACCTAACTTATACAACCAACAAAAAAATGGTAACCACGGCTGATGGTAACATAATAGTATCAATGACGCGAACTTAATCTGTTTAGTACTGGTCACACTGATAGCATTTTGTATCATGTTTTGTTTTTCGTTTAGTTACATACCTAGTTTGACAGTGTCTAACAAATTTCTAATGTATTTTTTAAAATATGTGTTGTGAATGAATTTTTTGATATTAGTCATTATTGTTTGTCTTATTGTAATACATAACTCAAATCGTTAGAATACCTATCTGATATTTGTAAAAAACATTGAATTTGGTTCTTTATAAGTCTCAGGTAAAACAATTAAATCAATTCTTATAAATCAAACAAAGACATATTTAGATACTAACAAGTGGCTGTGGGAGATCAAGTGTCAAAATAATTGTTTTTTAAATATTAGAATATGTCGTTCAATGAAGAAAAAATAAATATTTTATTGATAATAGGAAACTGGTTTATTATTATAAAATTTTTTAATAATTTCTTTTTATTTAACAATATTTGATTTGATAGATAACTTAAATCAAAGCTATGTGTATTTTGTTTATGTTTGTATTTTTAAGAATGATCATATTATGAACAAAGTATTAGTTTATATTTTTAAGAAAAACTATTTTATTATTGTAATTATTAATACTATTTTTACAATCAACAGGTTTTAACTCGCTTCAAATGAATGAATCAACAGAAGAGTGCTCCCCATTTAAAGATAGAAAGAAAAAGTACATTTATTTATACTAATATATGATTTATGTTTTATGTGTGATTTAAATTTTTTATCTAGAAATCATATGTCGCTTAATGATAAAAAAAGATTAGCTCGAGAAAAGGCTGAGCAGTACAATAGCAATGGCAGACCTATACGTCAGTATCACATGTTAACTGCGGAAGAGGTCAAACAAGGGAAAGAAACTCATTGGGAAGAATTGGAAATTATTGGTATTTCATATTGTTTTAATAGTTTTGATAAAAAATCATTTTTTAATTGTATTATTTGATTTGATATGTTTAGGTAGTATAAAAAACATAAGTCCAGATTTATGGAAATTGACATACTTAACTGGACTTTATCTAAATGATAATCAATTAACAAGGATACCGCCAGATATATCATTGCTTGTAAATTTACAGTCTCTTGATTTGTCTGGAAATAAACTTCGAAGTTTACCCGCTGAACTCGGTGAATTAGTATATCTCAAGTAAAATATATAAATATTTTTTTTTTATACATTTTTAAACATTAAACACTTGAATTTTAAATGTATTAAATGTTTATTTTAGAGAGTTACTTTTGGGTTATAATATGTTAAGATCACTGCCACATGAATTGGGACGTTTGTTTCAACTGCAAGTATTAGGCCTGGCTGGTAATCCTTTATGCCAAGAAATTATGAAGTTGTACAGTGAACCGAATGGTACACATAGACTTCTCATGTATCTTTTAGATAGTTTACAAGGTAAGGCATTTTTTTTAATTGCAGTTAATATAATGAAATTGTATTGTTAGATAAAATTTTTTTAAGCCGATTTGGTTTTTGGAATAGTTTATTTGAATATTTTGTCACCCAATCTTATGCTGAATATATTTTGTCTATTATTTTAATGTAAGAATACTCGTAAAACCTAGATAATTATATATTGCGGAATGTATACTATACAAAACAATCGCTTTAAATATTAGGCAGAATAAATACAAATAGCCAATTGTATGAATGATTTTTATAAAAACAATTAACAGTATATTTGTTAAAATTTAAAAATCATTTTCTATAAACTATTAAATAAATGTTATAAAGTACATGCACATTAGTTAAGTGATTTAATAACCTAAATTGATTTGACTAAATATATAATTTTAGAAATTATTTTTCCTTTGTTAATGGAGTGAATGGTAATTAGTGCGCAATAAATATTTTGTCACATTACTTCATATGATTATATAAAATGTTAAAACAAATATGTAAATTTATCAAAAGATCCTCTATGTTTGAATTATAACTTAAAAATTAGGATGTAATTTTTTAGAATAATTAAATAATGTTTATATTTATCTTGATAATTGATATTAACTGTTGATAGAGAACTTTCTTAAAAACACAATAGATAGCTTATAAATAAATCCTATCGAAAATAATAATTTTATTATGATTACTACACTTTAAATTCCTTAAACACGACTAGCATATAACTTGCATCATGATTATAATCCAGATTTGTCTATTAACAAATTTAAAATATGATTTTAATATTGCCTAAAAAACCTAATATATTTTATTTATTTTTTCTTAAAAATAAAAAAAATTTGGTTTTTTGTTTGGTTTTTTAGCCTTTAAGACCATCCCGTACAACAAATATTCCTCCATCATTCTCTGTCTTCTGCTACTTTCCTCTAGTTTGCTCTTGGATCTACTGTTTTAACGTCCTTCTTCATACAATCTTTCCATCTAAGCAGAGCTTAGTGGTCTTTTTCTTATCGGCGCCTCTTCAATTACTGCTTTTATCATCATATCCTTCATCCTCTAGGCGTGTCCAGCCCACATTAACCCTCTTTTTGCGGCTTCCCTTGATATGCATGGTTTTTGAAACATGTTTTGAAGCTCCTCATTGGTTCACATTCTCCTCCTCCGGTTTGTGGATATGGTCCATGGATTCGTCTTAGAATTTTTCTTTCAAAAATGTCTGTTCTTAGTACTCATGTTTCTGAGCCATACAGGATGATGGGGCATATTAATGTCATATACATTTAAATTTTTAAGTTTACAGATATCGATCTAGATTTTGGCAGGATTCCAGCTCCAAAATAGCATTTGTTTGCTAATTGTAATCTTCTTGATATTTCCACCTTTAACTTATTGTCTTGAGTTAAGAGAATGCCTAAGTATTTAAATTGTGGTACTCTGTAGAAGATGTGTCCTTCCACATACACACTTTCTCATTATTGATACATCCTATCCCTTCTGCTAAGTTTCATATACTCCGTCTTTTCGTCAATTATTATGAAACCGACTTTACTTGCAGCATCCATTAGTTTCTTACAATGTCTTCATTATCTCTATATTGTCTCCTATGATGGCAATATCGTCTGCATATGCCAGAAGATCTATCTTTGACTGACCTAATGTTATGCCTTATGATATGTTCATCTCTCTAACTACTTTTTCTAGTACTAGGTTAAAAAAAATATGAGAGAGTGCGTCTCTTTGTCTCAGACCAGTGGCTACTTTAAACAATTGAGATGTAGAATTTGTAATTTTTATTTTTATCTCTGAATTTTCCATGCTGGCTTTAATGAGGTTGATTAGTTTTTATGGAAAATTAAACTCTTTTAGTATATTAAATAGGCTAGGCCTATGTATCGAGTCGTGTGCTTTCTTAAAGTCAACAAACAATGTATATATCTCCTTGTAATACTCTCATATTTTTTAGAATACCTGTTTTATAATAAAGATTTAGTCTGTGGTTGACCTGTTTGGCCTAAATCCTCCTTGGTAGTCTCCCAAGATTCATTCGGAAATCGGTTTAATTCTGTCCAAAATGCAATACGACAACACTTTGTATGTCGTGTTAAGTAAAGCAATGTCCCTATAATTGTTGCATTCTAGTGGGTCGCCCTTTTTATGTATCGGGCATACTAATGCGATTTTCCAATCCTCCGGGATCCTGTCTTCTTATATATTGTTTTTTTATAGAATTTTTTTTAAAATTTCTTCTCCAAATTTAAAAAAGTAAACAAAGTTTAGATAAAATATTAAAGAAAGTTTAAGTGAATCAGTACCAAAAGTATTAAGAAAAAAAAGCCAAAGGCGAAGCTGTGGTTCAATAAGATTTGTAAAGAAGCAGTCCAAAGAAGAAAACTAGCAAGTCAAGAATGGTTATATGACACCAGTAATGAAATAAGGTAGACATATTTTAGAACTCGCCAGAGGGAAGCCAGCAACATACTAAAATGTGAAAAGAGTCAATTTGTACGAAATATATTAAAAATGATGGAACTCAATTAGTACACAAAACAAGGGACATTTATAAATGAGTGAAGGACCTCAGAGGAGGATACTTAAAAAAAAAAAAAGATTTCTAAGAAATGATGATGGCCCCTTAAAAACTATAAATAAAGAACTGGTAAATAAATGGGGTTATTATTTTGATAAGTTGTTGAACTGCAAAGAACCATATTAAACTTATTTTAATCAGGAAATCCAAGAAGAACAGAGTTGTGAAGAACCAATCATTGAAGAAATAAAATCATAGATAAACACATTAAAAAACAATAGATCTCCTGGGGAAGATGATATTTAGTTAGAACTAATAAAGAACAGGACAGAAAAAATGGCTAGCTGTGGAAGCAGATCTGGAAGATTTGGACAACTGAAAAAATGCCAGAAGAATGAAAGACAATATTAATCTGCTCAATATTTAAAAAAGGAAATAAACAAGTCTGTAGTAACTATTGTAGGATCTCTCTTAAATGTGGCTTATAAAATATTCTCAAACTGTATATTATCAAGGATAAAGGAAAAATCAGAACAAGCTATTGTTAACTACCAGAGTGGTTTTAGATCAGGAAAGTCAACTGTGGATGAAATATTTGTCCTAAGACAAAAAAACCAAAAAACCCAGGAGTTCGATAAAGAAGTACATGTACTATTTATATATTTTAAGAAAGCATAATATGCTTTTTATGATATTATATACAGAGAGAGTTTGATTAATATTATGAGAGAATTCCATTTTCTGGACAAACTAATAAAACTAATCGAGATAAGTAACTTAGATACATTTATCAAAGTATGAGTAGGAAATATAATAATGGATCCAATATTAGATAAATCTGGTTTAAGGCAGGGTGACACCATGTCACCGATATTGTTCAATATAGTACTACAGAAAGCAATAAGAGA